CCTGACGCCGGCGGCGGCTCATGATGGGCAGCGTGTGCATCGTCCTATAAGCCTATAGGCCTAAATCCTAAGTGCCATGCATGGATCTGCTCCTGCATCATGTGCCATATATATGCAGCTCGAGCCCACGCATGCAGCACATGCGATCACTCGATCTTGCGGCATGCATGCAATCGATCATCCGAGCACTGAGGATTCCAAGCTAAAGCATCGGTCCTGTGAGGCGGATGTACAGCTCCCCAATGAGTCCCAGATGTCCTGCGAAACAAGAGAACTTTTAAAGCACTAGTAAAAACGCGCGTGCTGCAGTGAAGTCCTGCAGGCTGCCAGGATGTAGTCCATGACGGCGGCCACGTGCGTGATGCTACATATGTTTAATTGACCTGGCTATATTATATACTTTGGTGGGCGGCGCAAAGCTGCCAAACCTCACCGCATATACACCCGAAGCAAGTTTGCATATCGCGCAAGGATCGAGTCTATATATCTACACAGATGGATGGTGTACAAGCACTTCTTGCTGAGCAGCAGCTGAGGACACCTCAGCTGCCGCTCGTTTGTAATCCGTGCTATATATATGACTCCTGGGGCTTCGAGCCTGTGACTCATGCAAGCTCGTGTCGTTAGCGTGCACGCCCTAGCTCAGCTAGCAGGGACGATCCCTGGCCCCCCGAGCGGGAGTACCAGCTTTCGCCCCTGCCAGCCGTATCTCAAAATTTTCTTAAAGCTCCTGAATGCAGTCCTGAGTGTTGTAGGCTGACGACAACCATGCAGTGACACCTGCACACATTCACCCAAGCGTGAGCAATGAGCATGCATGATCGAACCCCAGAACGCGACACCACGTTCCATCTGCCGCCCTCGATTCCTTAGAGTTGGCAGGCCTGACAACAACATTTGCATAGTCAGCCGCCTCATGTCGTGGATTCTTCGAATTAAGTGCCAAAGAATCCTTGCCATCCACCGCTGCCAGTTGCCAAGAGGCCCTTGCATCATTAGGCCTATCTACAGGTCCCAGCACCAGACTTTGAGCAAGCAGTGGCTGGTATTGCCAAGCACGATCAGGCAAGCTCAACGAGGTAAACCCTCATCTTAGTCTTGCACTGCCTGAAGCAAGCGAACATGAGCTTCCATGTTGCACACAACACGTGCGAGCCCAGTCGGTTTTTTCCATGGTTCCATCGAGGCTTCTGTCTAGCGGTCAAATCGTTTAATGACCTGCCGTAGTTCCTCGCGGTCAAAAATTTCACCGTTGCCGGTGACATACGTCTCTATACCAAGCATGTCCATATGCTTCAGTTGCCTCACGAAGTGTTCGACCTGCTCCTGGCTGTGCGGGCCGAAGCCGTCTTGCCCATCTGCACCGCTGCTGCTG